CTTTCCCTCACCTCCTTTGGTACTGTTCCTCATTCAGCTATGCTGGGAGAGCCAGGAGGTTTCTCTAGCACACTGCTACTTTTGACTAGGAGTTTGTTCAGGAAAGGGTTGGTGAGGGTAAGGAGTCATGGGAAGTTGAGCTTAGTACGGAGGCTACTTGAGAGCTAGGGGCTAGAGCTTGCTTGAATTTTGGGAATGCCAAAAGACTGAGGTGACCTCTGTCTCCGAGGCAGAGGTAGACCATAATGTTTGGAGGAACAATCAGTTCATAAAATCAACAGAATGATACAATCAGTTCATAAAATCAACAGAATGATTGCTTCAAACACTTAGTTTTTTTGAACCTGTAAAGCAAAATGCTACACGCTAATCTTTGGAGTGGAGAGTCCCAGTTTGGGGTATTAGCCAATGCTTTAGCCAAAAGGGCTAATCTTTTATCCTTATTCGTTGCTTTTATCCTATTATCCTTTTTTCCCCTATTCCTTGTCCCTCCCCATTTACTTTTTGAGATGAAATGTCCATGTACTTTGCTTTTCTCAGTGCATTTTCTAATTGTAACTGTATGGTTTCTGAAGTGCATTTTGTATTTGAGATGAAGATAGAGCACAGAACAACTCAGTAAAATTCAGATTTTCTGTTTTTTCCTTCCTTTTCACATTTTTTGTTTGCTTTTTTTAACTGTGGCTGGTTTTTGCGCTGCTGTTTTCATAAAACAACTTACAATGATTGTGACTCATTTTTGATTCTGTAGTGGTAACAGATAACTTAGAGACGCCCATTGGTGTATGTGTAGTTAGCATCTTTTTTTTCCTATGAAAGTTATTGTAGCTTTTTAAATGTCTAATCTCTCATTCTGTCTTAACACAAACTGTCATAAGTCTATTCAGCAGCTGTCTACAGTCATCTTTGGACTGAACCTTTCAAAGGGCTTTTTGAGTGTGAGGCATTATTTCCTTTTATAAAACTACCATGTTTTCTTCCCTGTTTATTCACATTATAGTTAATTCTACTTGTCTAATAGGGAAGTCATGCTTGCCTACTGAGTGGCTCAGCAGATGAGAGTTCATACTCTTGTCCTTATTTGCATACACATACTACTTTTAGAAACACATTTTCTTCCTTTTAGTAACCTGTTATGAGTTATTTTGGTCCTTTTAGAGTCTCTTTCTGATAGCTAAGCTTTCCATGTGGTGTCTGTAATCTCTGCACCTGTGAGGATTTCACTCATTCGAGTGCTCTTGTTCAGTGACTTTTTAACAAGTGTCTGCATTTTGATGTTGATCCTTCTTTGAATCTAAACTCTGCTGTAGTGAATTTTTTCCTGGTTCCTGAAGCATAGTTGTATGTGAATGTTTTGTAGTCGCTGTTACCCAATGGTTCTTTGATAGTAATGTTTTGATCTAGATCCTTTGTTTAGTGCATAATATCTCATGTGTTCTCTACTTGTGCCAAGAAGTGATCACTTAATCTATACTGCTCACATTGTACAGATCAGGATGTGGCTTCTCATTAGCCTTCATTATTGCATTTCACTCCCTCATCGCAGCACATCAGTCATTATTGCCATACTATTATGGAGGTCGCTCATGTGGCATTAATATAGATATTAGGATATTCCTATAGGTAATCACAGATTGCAGTTTTGCCCCTGAGAATTTGTACTCCTTAAAATAAGTTAACTAATTAACCTTTTGCCTTCTTTTTCCACTCCTTCACCATCATGACCAGCTGCTATTCCTGTATAGTTTCTACAGTAGACTTATCCTTTTGCTTGGTTATGTTCTCTTCTGCTGAGATCCTGACCTGCTTATGTAATTGTCTTTTGCAACCAGGCAATTCGTTTCACCTTGTGCTTTATTCATGTCACCTACAGTATTCAATGCTGCAAAAAAGTTACAAATTCAGGGTGAAACTACCTGATCTTTTTCTGGTATGCCTCTTGGATCTTTAGAGGGCTGTTTTTTAAGGGACTAGGTTTGTGTAGGCATTGTTTTGAACCAAATAGTCGGTGTTATCTGTAGGCAATTCTACTTCATGTTTAGTCTCGTACATTTCCCTTTGACACCTGTAGTTATGTGGAATGCTTGTATGCAGAAACTGGTTCTGGTGCTATTACTTTGTACACAAACTTTTCTATTCTTATGTATAAGCAAACTGTTTAGAATTGGAGACCAATTTGCTGCTGCTTGAAGAGTCCCAAAAAGATATGGAGTAGGAAATGGTAACCTCTAAAGTTATGCAAAGCTAAAGGCTGATTTCCTATGATGCGTTGTGGAGGGAACTGATGTCTCTGGAAATAAAGAATAGGGTCAGACCAAAGTGGTGGTATTTTGGTGCTATTAGAATGCAATAAAAAATAGTAATTTCTAAAGCTGAAGTAATTTTTTTTTTAATGGGGTCATGTAGTGAGAAGCTTCGATGCTGAAAATAACCTTGTGTAGGTAGAACCATAGAAGAATTTTTCTCCGAAGGGACTTCTTCACAATGCAGTGGGATTGCTCAGAGCCTTTCCAGTTCAGTTTTGAGTTTTCACTGCTGAAACTTGTCTATTACTTATCATCCTTTTGCTTTACAACTTCAGAGTCTGGCTTTGTCTTTTTTGCAACCACCTTTTGGGTAGTGGAAAACAGAAATGAGGTCCACACTCCCTTATCCTGTTGTGTAAGCTGACTGACTAATGGTCTTGGAAGGAAGTACTAAAAAAAAAATAAAGTAGTAATTATCATAACTACTGTTGGCATCGGTGACTTTTCTCCACTTCTATAAATCTTTCCACAATTAAGCTGCTCTTTTAAAGATTTTTTTATTTGTTTTTATGCAGCAATACCTCTGATACCTGAGCTTCTTTTTCTGGGGAAGATTTGTGTGCACCCGTAGAATTCCTATTGATATCTGTCAGTGCTACACAAATATGCTTGATCCTGGTCTTTCTGTATCTGAATCTTGTCAAAACGTGTGTGTTTTGTTTTTTGTTTTTTTTCTTTAAACTAGTCCTCCTTTTTTAATAACTTCCTGTACAAAATTCTCTTTGCTGCCAGGAGAAAGAAACAAAACATACACCCCTCCACCCCCTGTTAACTGAGCAGTCAAATTTTTTTTGGCAAATTCTGAAGAAAACATGACTTGTTTAGGTTGCAGTAGGGCATAGAGCATTTGTATCTTGTGTTAAGGTATATCAGTGCAAACTGTTTTTTTCAAATGTTAATAAATTCTTACTGTATTGAGAGCTTATGCAAGTCATATGTGGGCAGATCAACTTGGGACTTCTGCCAAGAAAAAACTATGTGGCACTTGGCTATTGCACTCTTCCTTTACCGAGAGCTATAAAGTAGAGGTGCTCTTGAATACGGCCTTCTAAATGAGTGTTTTAAAGCTTTTCATATTAAGTATGTAACTTTCCAAAATATGAGAATCTGATACGCAAATAACTATTTTTTTCCTTCTATTCCATTTCCTTGTGTTTATTTTACTCCATGTTCTTTCCCAGTTATAGTGAATAAAAGAGCAACAAATGTCGAGAATGGGGAAAGGTAAAAATATGCTTTTTTACTGTGACTCTATCCACACTGAGCCAGTATATGCTGGTCCATATGTTCAGAGTGGAAGCTCTGTCAGGAGAAATTTAGATTGGAGGGAAACATACCTTTATTTGCCTCCCCCTGATCTCTCCTAGAGAAATTCAGTAAAGAAGCATAAATCTTACGAGTTTTTCTTCCTGCTGCCTTCCGTTTTGATATGCCCTAACTTTTTCTTGTATTTGGATAATTAAAATCCTGCACAAGATGATTACTCTTCCAAGATGTCTACTAATCAGCATTTATAGTTTCTCTTCAACTCTGACAGTTGGCTGGGGAGTTGGAGAAGCAAGTAGTACTCTAAGCTGCTCCCCTTGTTGACATGATCTCAGATAGCTAGAAAGAAGAAGAAAAAAGACCAGAACCACCTCCATGTTTGGAAGATGAACCAGAAGATGCTACATCATAATGAAACAACAACAACAGTTGCCCTCTTTAGAGAAGGTAAAATTACAGTAAAAAATATTTTTACCTAATACAAATAAATTTAGAAGTGGACAATTACGTTGTCTTATTCTTGGCAACCTGGTCTCTTCCCACTGACAGGAGTGTAATTCAAACGGGCTGCAACAAACCTCCATCACCAGAACAGTGTTAAAAATGTAGGTTCTCTTTCATAGAAAAGATGAAAAGTGCTAATGGCTAATGAACAGAAAATGATCTTCAATCAACTATTGTCATCTGTGAAACTGCTTGTTTTATTTTTACATTGTTACTAACATCTCTACTTTGTACAAATAATTATTGTTGTTCCATAGTCTTAGCGTTAGTCTTGACAGAGACTTAGACTTTTGTTAATATATAGGTACTCCTAAAAATTACTTCGTGTTCTTGTTATACTACTAAATCTTCTGACTTGATTTTTTTTTTCTTTTTTCCTCTTCAAAGAGATACAATTTGACAGCAGTATTCAAATAGATGTTTTGATTCTGCTGTAAATATTTAATCTTTTGCTAGCCATTTTGCTAATCTAATCTAAAATTTAGGCTACCCATAAAAAAAAGAAATATCTAAGCATTGCAGGAACATCTGTGTTCACAATAAATTACTTAGTGTCTGTCTGTCCACTTTCTTTTCTGTTTGAACACTTGATGCTGACAAGTATGCAACTATATTTTAGCTTCTGACGACATTTGCTCAGAAAATATTTTGTTATCTCAGTGGTTCAGTTTTCTAGGCCACAGAAGTCATGCTTTTCATTTATGTAAGTTGCAAATACTGATTTTTTTTTTTTTTCTCCTGCATGACAGATACTTCCTAGTTATTGTACCTGCAAATTATTTCTGAAATGCACAACTTCATTTAAATCACTCTTATATATTTTGTATTTTCTGGAACATGATGGTATGGTATTATTCTGCAAATAATAGTAATAGTATTGTCATTAAAAGTATGCTCTTTAGCTTTATGATTTAGTTGAAGTTTTCCATGCTGTGATGTTTGCAATTTGTACGGGTACTTTGTTTTGTGTTAATTTGCAAATTACACAGATAACTTCTGGAGAGCTTTAATGTGTTAAAGTAAAGCCTTTAAGTTGGGAGGAAGAAACCAGAACAGCTCAGGTTCCAGTAATTTACTTAAGCATCCTGTCATTTCGGGGTTTAATCACCTTTTTTTATGAAAGCTGTAGTGCTTTCATGAAATACAGGTTTAAATTTACTTGCTTGAAAGTAAGTAAATTTTTGGCAAGCGGGTAAGTACTTGATTTGAAGCAAGCACCCTTCCCCTGCCCCTCTACTGCCCCAAATTTTCCATTTCTGTAACAAGTAAAAGGTTTGTGTGTGTGTGTGTTTTGTTTTCCAGGATATAAACTTATGCTGATGTAGCTTTTAAAGAAAATTTTACTTGGGCTGAGGCTATATGTTTATAGTCGTTTGCTGCTTTCATCTATTTTCAGATATTTCACTGCCTGTGGATAAGAATTAGCTTTTATGTAGTAACTGTGTTTTTTTTCTTTAAAAGTACTATTCAGTATCATTTTGAGGGGATAAAATTTTGGGGAACATTGATTCTTAGTTTATTTGGCTATAAACGTGTGTTTACATTTTGGTATCAGCTGTGTCAATGTTATCTGTAAATCAAGAGTTACTTCTCATGCTATATTAAGCAACTCACGTTCAGCTGAGACGAGTAACAATTGAACTGTTAGGACAGAGCCACGATAATCGGTTTGAACAGTTTTTACTTGAGAGTGTGATGAGTAGATGCTTTTGAAGTGAGTCATCTTGGTGAAGACTTCTAATCTGTTAATGTCAAGTGAATGCATATCAAATTTTGTTTGTACTGAAGCAATTTGGTTTCCTCTCATGTTATGGTACTACATATCTGCTGACATGGCATGTGCTGCCTGTCTAGTGTTGCTACAGGTTGTAATGCAAAAGTGTGGCTATATGACTGACTACACGTGATATCGGGTCATTCAGTGCCTGAACGTAGTTATAGTAGGCATACTTTGAAAGATTTTTATTCGCTGATGTCATAAATCACTATGTTCAACACTGCTTGTCCAGTGGGAGATAATTCCTAATTCTTGCTTTCTTCTTACGTGTGTTTTACATATCTTGATATGGACAATAATTATCTAACTATGAAAACATTGTGTCTGTGCTTCTTGTTTCCTGACAGCTCAGCTTGGAGACTACAACTCCTCAGTGCATCATTCAGGATATCTGTCAAATTACAGTTTTATACCAGAACAGAACAAAGATTTTCTTACCAAAGTAGAATCACTACATGAACAGCACAGGTAACCTTAATTCTTAGTTCTTTCTCATCTCAAGAGTCTTTTTAAAAAAAAAAAAAAAAAATCCAAATCTTAAGAGTTTTAGTACAACAGACCGTTTTATTTCATGCAATTGCTAATACATAATACTTGTTCTTAGCATATTGGTTCAAAATTAATTTTATTCAGAGTATGATGTTAATGTGTTAAAATTTTTAAATAAACTTCTAGTTAAAATAATCACTAGATCGGTTAGTGCTACGTGTTAATAATGTCAGCCATCTAGAACACTGTATTAAGTATTTGAGGATTTTTTGATTGAAGGTTTTGGAGACTATTTCTGAAATCATATAGGGTTTTTCGTGCATTTAGAAGAAGAAGAAAAAAGCAAAAAAAAAAAAAAAAAACCCCAAACCAAACACTCCTCCCAATAACTTTGTGCTTTCTGTCCTCTTTTTCTGAGTGCGATACAAGGGTTGCAGCTGACAGTCCCAGCAAGGCTGCTGCTAACTGTTCTTTGTGACCTTATTCATTTTCTTGTAGGACTGCAGATTAGGAGTTAACTGCGGTTGATCACATACTCACATGCTGCTTGCAAATATGTTAACCTAAGAAATTGTCCATGAACATTTGAGCAAATGAAATCTGAATCTCAATTGATTTGTTCTCTCTGTCCTTTGCTACAACAGAGCTAGTTCCCTACTCCCCTAGTGTCTTTGATTTCTTGCTTTCCACCCTGAAATAACTTCTTTTCCCCCTCTCCTGGATGTTCTTTAGCTTCTTTGCTATCTTTCCGTGCTCTCAACTCTCCCTCTTGTTTTCTAACTGTTGGTGGGTGAAAGATGCACTGAATGGTTCTGAAATTCATATGTGCCGACCAGCACAGTCCAGAACGTGCACGATGTTTAGCCATTTATGGGGTGAAAACAGAAAAGATGATCACTGTGCACACACTGAAACCATTCCCTCTGCATAGCTACTAATATGGACACTTTTTCCCTAGCTGTTTATGTTCAGGAACACAACATCTGAGGCCTCTACTTCTTCCAAATTAACTTGCAATTACTAGTAGCCTCAGAATTTATTAGAGGGGTCTTGTGGACAGGCATAAATGAACTCTTTCCTTTAGGAAAGCAATAGCCTCAGGTTACTGAGGGAAGATTCTGAAGGGTCTTGAAGTGGGTGTGCTGAGGTCATGGCTTTAATGCTATTTTTGCTGGAGTTACAAGATTGGTTATGTACTGCAGAGAGCAGACTAAAAATTGCCATAGATACAAACAAAGGCATGATGGATCTGTTGGAAAGAATTCTCTCTTCTTTAGGTCCTTTCAGAGAAATTGGTGTTTTAATCAAGCGTTTGTGGTAGTTTGAAGCATTGGTGGTTGAGAAGCTTAACTGCTCTATTTGAATTCAAATAAGTGATGGTAATTGCCCTTCGAATATTGTTATTCATAACTTTATATTAAATTCAGATGCGACTCAGTGGACGGTAACTGTTGGGAAAGCAATTGGTATCATATTGAACTGGCTAAGCTTCAGAAACTTTGTAATTGTGCTTATCCTTCTGTGTTCATCCTTGAATTTACAGAGGGATTTTTCTGTATGTAGCTTGTTTTAACAAGGCTTTTAAAATCTTTTTTCACTTAAGCAAGCAGCTTGATGTCTTAGGATGTGCATATTATCCAAATCGGTAATGATTTCCTACAAATGGCTAGATTTAGCCATCCATTTGAGGAGAAGATACATTTGAAACCTCATATGATGTTTGAGCTCCAGATGTGTAACAAACCCTTGGATATTAAGAGCCGTAAAAATTGGAAGTTGGCACTAAGATCACCTTCATCTTACCTATTTATCTCACTGAGGAATGGAGACCTGCTTAAGGACCTAAAGGTTTAGTTTTCTCTTCAACAGAGTGTGAGGCGGCATAACAAAAAATAGGCTACGTGAAGGCACTTTTCTATTGGCCTTTCAAGGTGCAGAGCTTGATTGATCTCATGTAGATGATGTATGCAAATTGAAAATTAAAACTTGAAGACGTATCTTGTTGGTATGCATCAGGCTTTCCCTATTTCTTTGGATGAAGTTCTTGATCAAAATGAAAATGTTTAAGTACATTATTTTCAACTGTTCTGTATTCGGCAGCCTATTGTATAATCAATTGCTCAAGTTGATTTTTCTCCACCTTTCTGACATGGTAGAGGAGGCAATGTAAATTGGATGTAATTTCTAGCATCTCCTTTTTTTCCTGACGTTTCTGAGGATTATAATTTTTTTTTCCCCCCCCTAAATTCAAGGTGGCAGTAGCCACTGGAGCTGTAGATCTGAGTAAGCAATTTATCTCAGGATCATAACGAACAACTTTTTCTTCCCTTCACTATTTTTCCCAGTATTGTGACATCCTCAAGCCACGCTGCTGGCAGTGGCTTTCTAGTTCAAGATAACTTTCAGTCCTTCTGATTGGTTTCACAGAACTTTATGTAGTACCTCTTATAGTGGCACTTTCAGGGTGGATTATTTTGATGGCTTGGAATTTGAGAATGGATGGTAGTTTATTATTCTGAAAGTAATAGATGTTTACCTTTAGAAGTAAAGCTCCCCTTTAAAGTAGGAATTCTTGCCATATGTGGAATGTCTTTGGATTTGGAGTTCTTAACCAGAGCTTTACTGTTATGTCAGTTTCTTACAGGCTGTCCTTAAGTCGCTTTTGACTAGCTTAATTCTATGGGCATCGCTTCAGAGGCTCATCTAGCAAAAGGTGGATTCTACCTGTGCAGGCTTGCAGGCCTGGTAGGATGATATCTGATGTCTTTTCTGCTTATGTATATGTACGTAGTCATGAGTTAGTCTTTGTTCTTACAGTTAGTTTAACGTGCTGTAGTGCCTGAATCATAGATGGTTGTTGGCACCGTACAGTATCAACAGGCTACAGCAGATTCCAGGTTAGAGCTGGCTCTTGTCTGATCAGTTCTCAAGAATGAGAGAGTCTTGGCTGTAACAACTATTGGAGGGGACTACCTTTATTATTTTGCTTAAGGGAATCTTATTAGGTCACATTATGTTTCTCTCAGATGAATAATTAGAAGGCTACATTGGAGAATGATGTAGGTAGGGATGACTTTTGGATTCTTTGCTTTTTAAATCTCAAAGCTCTTTCAAACTCTTTGTTGTTTCTATATATCCTTTCCAGGAAGATACAGATTTAGTTTATTTGAGGTGGTGATTTTTTTTGTTTGTTTTGGGGATTTTTTTTTTTTAGTTCAGTTCTTTTGAAAATGGACATCTCATCAGATCTTAAACTTTCCAGAAGACTAGGAGATGGAATCCTTGCAAATCTTGCACCACATTCCGCGTATAGTAGAAAAAAATAAAATACTTCAGGACTTTCTGCTTGTTGATTATAAAATAAATTCAGATGGCTTTAGCTTCCTGAGTTTATAACTTCTTTATAACTGTATAACTTTTAAAATATTCTTTCTCTCCCTTATATTTGAGTACATTCCATGTCGATACTGATCTTTCTTCTAAACAGCTAATTCCTTCTGAGACACTATGCGGTGTAGAATATTTACAAATATAGCTTCTCATTATAAAATGAGAAACAATTGAGGAATTGTTTGCTCACTCCCATAAACAAAAAGCTAAGAATGACATTTATTTTGCACTAATATACTTCACCTGTGAAGTACTTTGTGGCATTAGTTGTTAAGAAGGCTTGTTTATCAAACCAGGCTGTTGGATTCTCCACTCTTTCTGTATTTGTAGTAAATACAATTTCACATCTTCAATTTCTGACAGTAGTACATATTTTTTTTTTCTCTTTTAGTGGCCTCAAGCAATCTGAAGCAGAATCCTGCTATATAAATATAGCGCGAACACTTGAATTCTATGGAGTGGAATTGCACAGTGGTAGAGTATGTTTACATTGCCCTTTTGACTTGGAACATTTTATTATATGACTGGTTTTTTTAAGATGAACTTATTTTGCAGTGACAATGTTAGCATTTCAACATTAGCTGTACCATGTGTTTATTTTTAACTGAAGAATTTGAGTGATTTCTTCCAAAATTTGAGTAATGTAGAAAGGTCCTAGAATTTCAGCCAAATAAGCTAGAGCCCCTCAATAGAACAAACATTTATTTTTAAGATGTATTGTCTTGATACTGCAATACTTAAGATTCTTAAGTCTTAAGACTTAAGAATTCTAGTAAAGCTTATGATGGTCATAGTGTGGGTGTTCGTTGATAAGAGACTTGTCCTAGTATTTCATTGTTTACTGACACTTAATTGTTTGGTTTTACTACCTGACTGAGAGAGAGAGCCCCAAAACGTGCTTATTTATGTGAGAATTACCGTTTCTACTTTTACGTAATAGCAAAATCTTATGCACAGCCTTAAGCACTGTTCATGTCTGAGCCGCTACCATCATTGGCCAACTTGTGGCGTAGAAACTTACTGTAGTGTAATGCAGCTGATTTCCTAAATAAAGATGACTACTGGTTTTACTAATATTTTTCTGAGATTCTTGTTAATCATGACTGAGAATTTTAATGAAAAAAATTCTGTGCTTCTGTAATGATAAAAGTGATGAAGAGTTCGTTTTCATTCCTCAGCATGTTATGTTCTTCTGTTTGGTTTTTTTTTTTCTGTATGCTACCACAAATATGTAAGTGTTGCAATTGACCTTTAAGGATTTCTAAAGCATTCCTCTGTAAAGCCACTGCAATCACATTCGTTTTCATAAAATATGTTGCTCAAACACTAGAGACGTTTTTGTAATGGGGGGGAAGTACAAAGGAGACAAATGATTTGAAGTAACAAAAATATGAACTTTATGTGCTCATAATATGTGGTATGAGCATCAGGGGAAGCCACTGTTATGTGACAACTACTAAGATGATTGGATTTTTTTTGCAAATCATGGCGTGTCCTTTGATTCAACTCCAGTGGTTGTGCGTACATAGTCTAGCATATGTGAACAATTTTTTAACTTTCTCTTGTCTTATCTCTGGCAATGGAAAATCCTTCCTAACATCTAGCAAGATGATAGCCCGTACATGGTAAATGGGCATCATGTTAAATCCAGCTTTGTCCAGATTGTATCTGTCCATTGGGTCGTCCTTGTTACCTTTCTGCTATATTGAAGAGTCTTTTATTGTCATACTTGAAATTCCCTGATTGTATTTAATTTGATTGTTCCGTACCTTTTAACTTTTCTTCTAGCCTAGTATTTTGATAGTGCACCCTAACTTCCTGACTTTAACTACAAGGCAAATTATCTGCTCTGTTAATATTCATTGGATGCTTTTTCTGAACGTACTTCGATTTTTCCAACATCTTTCCAGAATTGTAGGCAGCAGAACTACACCTGGTTTGTCAGTAGTGCTCATACCAGTGCTGAGTAGTAAGGATAGTTTAGAGTAGGTTCAAACATTTTGACTAAATGAAATTTCATAAAAGTGTTCTGGCCTGCTCTTTCAGAATGGAAATACTTTTTAGGGATACCTACTTAATGTATTTCTTTATCCGGTGCATTGTTTCAGATTTAATGACGTTATGTTTACAGGATGTCAGGATGCTAGGTGGAGGTCCCTACTCAGACACCACACAGTGTTTTCTATGTCATCTGAATCAAATCGAGTACATGTTTGAATCAAACCCTTTTTGTTTCTGTGCTCTTAAGATGCAGACCCTCTTGCTACTGAGAATGCAATTGGAATTAATATCTTTTGTCGTGGTTGCATTTTTTTTTTTTTTTTGAAGAATGAAAATTTTTCAAGCAGAGTGATTTTGTAGAACTTCAACAGAGCAACTAGCCGATTAGAAACTGCTAGGAAAGAACTAGGAAGATGGAAAAAGTCATGCGGCTGTTCAAATCCACGTTTTGCTGAATTCTAAGTATTGCTTTTTGAACAGTTCTGTTTCTCCCTCCCTTATCTTGAAGCAGGTAGTGGAAGTACAGAGAAAGGTGACAAGAATGATCCAAGTTTTATGGAATGTTGTCTGTATCAGGTGAACAGCCTGGAAAATGGGAGTAAGAAACCAATTTTTTGCTTTGGTAATAAAAGATTCGGGGAGCTTCAGTCCACCTTGTAGAAGACAAAGGTTTAAGCAAAAAGAGTTTTTCCCATAGAGTGTGTAATTGAAATGTGAGGATTACTGTCACAGTATCTTAATGGATGACATAGGTGTGAATGAGTATCAAGAGCAATTAGGCAGATCAGTGAAAGAATGATTCATTAGGCCCCATTAAACGTACAGCTTGAGGATTTCCTGGATCAACAGCTGTAAATTGCTGAAAGCTGAGAAGGGGAATATTAATAGTGGTGTGATTGGGTGACCTGTGTCTGGTGTTTTCTTGTGGGTTTTTAACTACTTCCGAAACATCTGTTACAAATCGTTGTTCTAAGCAGAATGCTATGAGGTGAACCTTTCAGCTAAGATGTTATCATTGATGATGCTCTTGAGAGCATATATGAAAAGTAATAGGACTGGATTATTATCAGAGAGAGCATGTAGGGCATTATGTTCTAGCAGATACTTCGTTTAATTTGCTAAATTGGTTTGTCTGTGCTGCATCAATCCTACAGAAGAAACTCCTCTTACCTTTTGAGCTCATCTGGTAGCCTGCATGGTGACTGTAAATGACACTTCTCTGAAGTTCAGAATAGTCTGATCCAGATGAAGAACTCTTCTCATACTTCTTAAGTCAGTCTTGTTGAAGTTTTCTGTTGGACATTTCAAGTTATCTATGTTGCTAAAACCAATTAAGATTATCAGGTTGATCTGAAATAGGATCAACTCTCTCTGCTCCCTCAGGAATGACAGCTTTCCTACCACTTAGTGCACTGACTCACATCTATGATAAGTGCTGCTGTAGTCTTTGGTTACAATTTTACAGGCCTTACTCATCTTTTCTTTCAAGTTTGTATAGCCAATTTTTAAAAAGATGAATGATTATTTTTTTATTATCCATTGCATCAACTCAAACTGAAGAAGAAATTCTTACCCTATTTATGAATTCTTAGTCGCTGTTGTTCAAAACTGCCAGGCTCTTACCCCAACTCTTTTCCAAAATAATTTGACTTCCGTGACTACTGAACACAATGATTTATGACGATTCTTACATGTTTAGGTCCACTGAGTGCTGACAGTCTGAAGAAAAGTCTCTATTTCTGAAGTCTGTAGTGACGCTCTTAAGAGACTACCACAGTATATCCCATCTTTGACAGGGATGTTTGGCAAGCCTGTTAACATCCTCCACCTGCTTAGCATTCCTCAAGTTTTGCCATTTCAGTGTTTTAACACATGCTAGCAGAGGTTAGGTACAGAACTGGAGCTTTTTGAAAGGCTTTATGTGTGTGGATCCTTATGATTCACCTTTTTCCCTGTTGCTAAGGTAGTCTTAGTCCTCTTAGATTCTGTATGGCGAAGGAACTGAGTGACAACTGGCTTTTATACTAATGATTAAAATAAATGGATGCTCCTGTACAGGTGATTGAGTGGTATACTTTTGGCTAATGTTTCTTGAAGAACAGATGAATGTCTTGTTTCCGTAATCTTCATGTTTTATAGTATTAAGGCAAATATTTTTCAGAAGTCAAGTGTGATCTTCCTTTTAACAAGCAAACATGAAGCTTCCACTAGGGAATTAATCTAATGAACTCTGCAAATGCTTCTGCTTTTCTCTGAGGATAAATCTGAACTGTTAAAATTGTAATATCAAAAAATAAAGTACTATTAAGAAACTTACGAGATTGAGTTCAATACTTTAAAGATTGTGTAGAGTAGCTTGAATTCTTAATCTCATTTTGACTCTAGATCACTTTCTTATCTGCTCAATAGCTAGTCTGATGTTAGTCTACCTTTCATTTTCTCTCAGAGAGGGGAAGATGGGAAACTTGTAAAATTGATGTTATTGCCATGTCTCCAAAAATCCAGGTAGTATTTGCAATTGAAATTAAATGTGAATCAGTATTTAACTAGCTAGGTTACTAGCATGATCCTATTCTACCTTTATAAATATGTTTATGTCTTTGTCTCGGTAAAGAAACAGATGAAAAAGAAAGCATGTGCATGACTCTTCTTAATTGTGCAGTTTAACAGCACAGATGTTTTGAAAGGGAAATAGATAACTGCACGCTTTACTTTGTGCATCATCTTGGAAACTCCTCATGTGAGACCCTCTTCCCCTGTTGTAAGATTTTGATTTCAGAATTCTTAATTTTAACATAAGAGAATTCAGTATAACAGTGTGCAAGGTTAGTGTTTTGGACAGGAGTAGAGAAGGGGGAAATTAAGTCTGTTCTGGTACAGTTCCTTGAGGAAAATGGAGCAGTTTGGCTTAATTAACCCTCATCTCTCTTTAGCTAATCCTTTTGTTTCTGCTAAATCATGCAAGTTCTGAGCTCTTTATGCTAAAGCTGTCTTCTCTTCATATGATTGACTCTTGAAAGCAGGAGCATGAAGTAAGCATGAACTACTAATAAGCCAGTTTTCTGCCCTGCTTTAGGTTGGCTGTACCATGGCAGGCAGCTGAATCACATGTGTATCAGCTCCTGAAATGCCTCAGTTTGCTTCATAGCATATTAAAATAAAGTGGTGCCAATTCTGGATTACTTCCATAGGCTGGCATAAACTGTGGCAGTCCAGGAGCTTCTTCAGGTGGAGGTGCAAGTACTTCCTCTAGTAGCAGTCTTTGGGAAAGCAGGGCTGCAGGAAGCTGGGGACTGTTAATCACTTCAGCTAATTTTGAGCTACCTTATCAGTATCTTGAGATTAACTGTGTTTGGAGAGCTCCCTACTTAATGATTTTCCTGTATTGAACTCTCAGAAATGGGGGTGTTAATTCTTTAATACTAGCATAACACTGAATACTGACAAGATGAATGTTAGATACTAGATGTTATACTCATCTTCTGTGAACTGCTGTGGTATTTCGTTGGAGGTTTATAAGCCATGTTGCAAATCGGGTTCAGCAGTTGTTCAGTCATATACCTGTATCAAACTTTTTGGGCTTATTGTAGACTTTCCACAGTAGTGTTAGAGCACATGCTACCTGTGCTATTCTTTTGTAATTTACTAATGCCAAGAAATTAGAATTGGACATACCTGGACAGATTGTGTTAGCTGAGCACAGACTACCACCTAGAGGATCAGCTAAGCTACTGAAGGCTTTCAGAGAATCCATTGCCTTTGGTCATCCTTTATAAAATATTCTGAGGCTACTGTTGAGTCAAACCCGATGTTTTAACCAGTGGGTTCCACATACCTACATGTAGATTTATGCACGTGTTCAGCTCTGTTTAGAAACTTGTGTAGTAAAACATTAGTGCATTAGTAAAACATTAGTGCGTATCATAGTGAAATGGAAAGCAGAGAACTGTAACTTTTGCAGCTTCTGTTTGGGTTTAGCTGGAAACCTGACCAATCAACGCCTCCCCACCCCTTTTTGTTCAAATATTTATACAAAAGGAGCATGAATTTCCTCTTGAGTATCTTTGGACAGGGATAAAGGTGTTGCAAATATATGAATGTGTTTTTCCTGTTAAGCATGTTAAGCTAACATAGCATTTTTGTTTTAATTAGCAGTGGATTGTTTTGTGTGTCGAATATTCACGTATGCATATATATTCCTCTAACATTCTCATTTGCAGAATTGTGGTCACTTCCTGTAAAGTCTTTGTTAGTAAGATCTCTTTGGAAATCATAAGGAGTTATTTTCTTTGTCTTTCTAAACAGTTTAGAGTCAGATTTGTGCCCACTCTCCAGAATTCTTTGATGTTTTAATTGACTAATCTTGGGAAGTACTTCAGCTTCTTTCCCATATTAACATAAAATTGGATTTGAAACCTCTTAGTCTGATATGGACCTAAAAAAAATACCTGGTGTAGTAAGATGAACACTGCAACGTTTTTTAACAAATGAGACTTTATATTATGTAGTAGATAGGATCAAAGGAGAAAGATGCATGAGAAGAAAAATCAGAATAAATGACTGAATTTATGGCTCAAATGTTGCATTTTAAGCTTGCCCATGCCATGAGTGTAGAAAACTTGAAAATTAAATTTATCAATAGGTAAATGAGCATGACACAAACTGCGTCTGTATTCTTACAATATTTTTCTTTTGCAGGATCTTCATAATCTAGATCTCATGATAGGGATTGCATCAGGTGGTATTGCTGTGTATAGAAAACTCATCTGTACAAGCTTCTATCCCTGGTAAATTTGTTTGTTAAGAAATGTATTTACTCTTTTAAATCTCATTTCCACCTGTGTTAGCATTTATTTCAAAGATGACTGCTGTGCATTAATTCTGTTCTTTATGGTCTATCACAATGTTCTGTTGCTCTGAGGTAAAAATGAAGGTTGTTGCTTAGGCTTTTAATTCTACAAGACTTTTGAACTGTTTGCGCTGTGTAAAGTCTTGATCAACTTCATTCACTTAGGTGTGAGCATGTGATTAGGAGGACCCTGGTAGTCTTAAGCTGCCGTTACACCCTAAGACATCTCTCTCTTTTCTGTAAATATTACTAGTAACTAAAGCTCAACAGTTAGTGATCTGATCATTATGTCCTGTCATTCAGCAAGAAGATACTTGCTTCTAAAAAAAAAAAAAAAAGGAAAAAGAGTTACTTCTAGATTCAGGTTCACTTGGACTTAGGTTAACAATAATTCATACAAATTTCTAAATTTCATCAAACAAGGTTATATAACATTAACATGTAGATTTTGCAATCTTCAGAGAGGAGAGACATTTACATTGTTATATGATACTGAAAACGTTGGGATGCATAATAATACCTTAGAAAATGATCTCCAGGAATAAGCAGCCTGCACAAGATGCCTGAAGTAAATTAAATTAGTGCAGTTCAAGTAATTTATAATATTTAGTGTATTTGATATTTCTTACAGGAAAATTAGTAAAATAAATTTGAAATTATATGGAGGCTTGATCTTGCCTTAAGATTCCTTGGAATGGATCAGAAAGAATATTTCCTGTTTTTTTTTTTTTTGGTGATTTCTGTGTGTGTGTGTTTGAGAAAGAGCTTAAATGTTATGCATAATTTCCTTATATAATTTATAACAGTATTTCCAGTAAGATGATGCAATGTTCCTAACTTCACAGAAAAATGCATTCTAATACACTGTACTTGCTATTGGCTTCTTGACTGTATTAAAAACTGCTTGCTAACAGTATTCCTTAAATACTCAAGTCATTCTATCCTTTCATTATGAACCTAACAAATGTTTGCTATGGGAAAGCAATAAAATAGTTTGAAATAATTTAAATTATAGTTGAAAAGGTACTGCACAGTGTCTTGATTTTTTTCTCCTTTTTTTCTTTTCAATGAGTTGTCTTTGAACTATATGCTGTATCCATCCTAAATGGATGTCAATAATACTTTCATACAGCATAGTGGCATTTGATATTTTTCCTTCAATAATATATATTAAAAAAAAAGACTTTTATCATTCATCTTTAATTGTGTCCTGAGCTCTGCCCTTTCATCTGTCAGTCTCAATTTCTTTAAACAGCTACAAGTTTTAAAAACTACCAACTGGAGGCATGATTTCTTTCTTCTCCAAGTCTTTTTCTGCCAACTTAGTGACCTGAGATACGAATGGATAATAGTGATACCTGAAAAGCATAGTGATAGTATTTTAGAATCCAGGACTATATGATTTTGAGGGGAGGGGAAGCAATACTTCTATAGCACTTAAGACGTGAGAAATTCACAACTTCCTATGGTACCTTTAATCCTGGAGAGCATAGAGGAATGCAAGCACATGCCAAAATGATATGTGCAGAAAAGACTATTCTAACTTATGAAATAAGAAATTGAGGAAAAACTCAGATTTTTTTTTTTTGTTCTAATGTTTCCACTCTAAGATATGAACCAATATTTTCAGTTAATAGCTAAGGTAATTGTTCAAAGCTGTCTTCCTGTCCCTAGAAATATCTTCTCAACTTGAAAGTAGCAAAAAGACATAAACTGAGTACATGGAGGATAACTTTTTGATATTTTATTTCTGACTTCTTGATTAAGTTGATCATCATTCTTCATTTGGGAATGGTGCCCCCTGCTCCCCCCCTGCTGCATGCCTCCCAGGCTATGAGGATGTTACCAGAGCATAGCAGCCAAACAGTTTTTGTAGTGTATGTTCTCAATTCTCTGTAAAGGCATTAAAGTAGGATACGTTTCTGTAATGCCCTCAGTTTTAATGTATGTTGGATTGAAAGTTGTACAGGTGAGGGAACTCCTTAGAGATCAATACATGCCTGAGAAGCTGCCTCCCCCCCCCCCCCAAACAAAAAACAAAAAAAAAAAACGACCGCCTTCCCCACCCCAAATACAGCAGCACCTGGCTCCCACCCCCCCCCCCCCCCCCAAACAACAAAAAAAAACAGAATCGAAACTTTTTTATGTTACACCATTTATAATAAGGAGGGTTTTTTTGTACAAACTGAGCAAGCTTCAGCATAGACATGATAGACCTCACGGTGGCAGCAAACACCATCAGAGTACTCTTTCCAAAAGTTTAAGTAAAATATTCTGCATCATTAATAGATGACAACAGTACAGCAACTATGTCATATGGTAGCAGCCAAAGGGGACAAAAATTTCAGGAACAGAGGCAGTGAGAGTGTACGGCTCATACAAAAGGAGGATTTTCAATCAAAGCAATCTATGTAAGGAGCAAGCTGGCTGATCAGTTGGAGGCAATGCAAGTAAAGACAGATTTAAAAAATACCTTTGGATTTACCCTAGAATTTTATATGCTCTGGAAAATTATTCTTGGGGTGATTGACTCTTGTGATAATTTCAGACTTGTTTTGCAAGTAAAACATTACCTTAATGGCAGAACATAGAAGCTTGCTCTACATTTTACATTCCCATCAATTAAGATTGTGTATTAAATGCTGCTCAGTGTATGCAGTTTCTTTGCTTTGGAAACTTTGGCGAAACTGCTAGAGGGATGTGTTCTGCATTACTAGTTGAAATCGAAAAGTAACCTGACCGAGTATTAAGTGGTGTAAATTTGACAGAGTCTTTCATTCTGAATCTTCCTAGGGCAAAGTGTAGACCTACAGCTAAGGAAGTGTTTTTGCTTTAAATCAAAAATAACAGCTGTTAGCAGTAAGTGCTAGGACAGAACTGCCAATTAGCAGGCACCACAGTTATTTATTTCTGATCTATGTGATAAATCTGTTCTGATCCTTGTGAATGATAGGAAAACAGGAGCCAAAATATTTATCATTATTAATGTGCTACAACTATTGAGTGTGTTAGGTGAGCTGCAGATTAGAATAGGAAAAACTGCATTCCATTCAGATTGTTTGGGCTGCAGCATCTTCAAGCACTGTTCAATCTAAATATTTTGATAACTTAAGCTCTTGGATTTTTTTGTGGATATGCAAACATTCACTTAACTAGTAGCCATAACATTGCAAATGAATTTTTCTTAATGTTAAATAAAACGGTCAGATTAGCAAGTGTTGTCACTGAATTAAATAGGTTAAGCTGTACTGTAAGAGGAAATAATGGAATTGAGATGGGGGCTATTCTTCAGAGGAGAGTCAAAATAAAGATGCTAAGGTCCTAATTTGACATGAAGTGATTATGTGGCCATGCAGTGAATCATGTTAGAAAACTGAGGGGTTTGGGGATTTGTTGTTGTTGTTTTAAGTGTTGACTACCTTTTTGCTGTTGGGTAGGGTGGATTTTTTTCTTTTTTTGGGAGCTTTGTCTGCCAGATTAGTTTACTGTGTTTTTGTTTCTGCTGTTAGGGTAAGAACAGTGGCAACCACTGTGTAAGCTGGCTGTGCCTCCAAAAACGTACTGGTTAAAGTGTAATCTAAGTAAAGAAATGCGGTGGGAAAGAACCAGTAGTGCAAAACTTGAAAGCAATACTAGTCCAGGCAGAGTAGCACTAGGATTAAGAAAGGATAGACGTAAATGAATTCCATCTCAGTAAATGCAACTGAAAGTTTATATGCACTATCAGGAAGTTTGGAATCCAGAACTTTTAGATAAGCAGTAGAGATCTCTGCCATTTGGAGTAGCAAGTCAAATGGTGCAAGTACTTCAAGGGTGGCCTAGTCAGGAAAGGAAGGTATAATTTAAGCTTTCTAGTAACTTGCAAAGCTATTTGCCTGATGGCAGGAGAAGGTTGTGAATGAAATTCATAAGCTTTCTGTGGTTCCGTATTTGACAGAGAAAGGCATTTGGAATGCTTTTTCAGAAATGGGCACACTCAATTTTCTAGCCCTTTCGTGTGGGAGGGGGAATTATTCATTCTCTTATCTATCTTGTTCATAAAATGCAAACTTGCTCCCCTGTATGAAAGAGGGCATTGCTCTGTGATAGAAGTGCATCTTTCTTGTAAGAAGTAGGGATGAATGATATGCCAGTGTCCTACTTGCTGAGAGCGATGCAAAAACGGTGGTAAGAACCAAGAGGATCTTCCATGTATTTTATCTGTGGTGAGATCTGAGGTGCTGGGACATTCTCAGTTGAAGCAAGTGTTCTGAGACTTTTTAGCAACAACCTTCAAAAAACCTTTCATTGTGTGCAGATGGTGTTTTTTCAGTATGGCTTGATCAGACTTTACATAGCTTTCCCAAGGCATGCATATGATTGCAGAACATTCCTTAGCTGATTCTTTTTCTGAAACGTGTAAGCTCTTAATTATTGAAATGTTTGAATTATTGAAGTATTTTATGTACCCTTGAAAATTAAATAGTAGACAAAACTTTAGTTTTGCTGTAGGGAGGTGCCTGAGCACCTCCCATCAGAAATTTTGGTCCAAGTGTGTTTAATTTTGCAAAACCGATAAGCAAATAATTGAAAAGTGGTTAAGCACCAATTCCACCCCTAATCCTTACTTTAGAAAAATCATTTATACCATGTGTATCTAGAAAAGGTACTCAGTTTTGTATAAAAATACCATGTAAACTATGTAGCAATGTTAATAATTGAAGTAAAAAATATATTAACACTCATTCTTATGACTTTTGTCCTTCTACAAATATATTACTTAATATTTGTTTAGTTAAGAGAACATCATATTTTTCACGTTCTGAAGGCTACTATGTTATGGGAAATTTTAGTTATTGTATGACCAACTTCTGTGATGTCATTAGGGTCTTAAATTTTGGGTTTTTTTTAGTCCCAGTTGTATGATTCTTCAGTCATACAAACTTGGAATATTTCATGTTTGTATAGCTAGTAAAGGATGTCTAAGTTTTTGCTGCGAATATGGATTTGGTGGGTGAGAATTACTATGTGATAAACTACTTAAAGTCTAAATGAGGAAGAAAGTTTAATTTTCAAAACACCTTTCCTTCTTATCTAAAATTTTTGCTTTGTATGTTCCTTGATGTCTATTTGCCACTCAACGCACAAGAGATGGCAGAATAGTCAACAGTTACAACCTTTTAGGCTGATTGTACTCAGTATTGTTTTTCATTGTTTTTCCCCTCTCTGTCTGATTGTATAGTATTTTGTTGTCTCTTTCTTTCTTTTAGGGTGAACATATTAAAAATTTCCTTTAAAAGGAAAAAGTTTTTTATACAACAACGGCAAAAACATGTAAGTAGTTGTTTTACTTTGTTTTCATCAAGTGCTCATGTTCAAATTTTTGGCCTATGATAAAAGGAACCCTAGGAGAATTGCTGGCCTTAAAGATCAAGAAGGCCAAAGACAGGTCCTACCGGTGCTCTGTTGTGTTATCTTGGCTTTGCTATTGTGGTGGTTTTATGCTCACTCTGTTTCCCCTTTCCTTTCCTTTGCGTTATGGAATCCTTTCACCGTCAGTCTGTTGAACTTATCTTTCCCATTCAGGTTTCTTTTGCTTTGCAGATCTAGAGGATAGGCAGATCTTTTCATCCCTTCTCCAGGATTCAGTAATCTGACGTTTTTCCCTTTGCCTGCCGGCATCTGCTGCCCTTTTCTTTGATGCGATGTCTGCGTGTTAGCTGCCCTGTAGAGTGCTTCAGTGCCGTGAATCTGCGAAGTGGCTGCTGGGCCTATCTAGGAGGATTTTGTGAGGTTGCATCTGCTTGTGGGGCTCAGAGTTCTGGAAGAAAGGAAGGTCACTGGAGAAAAGCAGAGAGGAGGCTAGAAAGGGGGGGGCAGTGTGTCTCCAGCAGTGTGTAGTATGGGCCACTTGCAAAGGTGGTAAAATACCTGAAGATAGTTGAGGCAACTGATGTAAAATTCCTTTTTGTTACTCAGAGTCCTCTTCATAATTCTATGTGCTTTTTGCAGAACAGTAATAATAGTAGGCTATTTTATGGGAAAAAATAGGGAATAGTCGTGACACAAGAGAACATCTTTAGCCACAGTTCAGAACTCTGTTGAATAACAGATTGCCAGAGATGTGTGTGTGGCGGTTTTTCTTTTTCTTTTTTTTTTCGTTTTTTTGTGTATTTTGTTTTGTTTTTTGTTTTTTAACCTAAAGGATAGGATTTTTTCCCCTCCCTCATCTTTTCAGTTGGGTGGTTATTTTGAAAGTTTGAGGCAGGACTGTGTGGGGTATGTACACATTCCTTGTTTTCAGGGATACTATGTAAACAAAATAGTAGATGAAGATACTGTTAGTGTTCAGTCACAAATAAGGTCCACAAATTAAGCTATTTTCTCTTTTGAGAGAGAGTATCAAAAACTATCAGAGATGAGTCTGAAATTTTTTGCACACTGTACTTTTCTATTCCTGAATATATTGCTTATATGTAAACTTATCTTACTCTGTTCAGATGTATTTCACTGTATGAAGAAATGAGTGGCTGGCAAATGGTTTATTTTACTAGCTTGTGCGTGTAATTGGTCACACAATATTGTCTCTTTCTACATTCGAGGATTAAAAAAATCAGTGATAAGTAGTCTTATTAAATTCTAAATATCTTTGTTCATATATACAAGTATTGGCATGCTTATGAACGGCAACTTCAAAGAGTCTATGAGAATAAAAACAGGAACAGAATTCTGTCAGAGAATGATTAGTAACAGTGGATAATAAAATAAATGAGTATACTTAAAGTTTTTTTGAAATACAAAGGAATGAAATATCAATATATAACTACCTCTGTATTTAAGATCTCTTGAAACATTTGTATTCATTGCTTAAAGACTTTATTGCTGTCAACAATTAACTTTCTGGAGAGATGACACACCTTTGAAAAGGGCAGGATTCTTAGTTTGTTCAGTTAAACTTTTGTTAAATGAGAACATTTCAAATTCCTTTTTCTTTTATTAAACTAACCTCCTCTTAAGCTGTTATACTCTTTTATTTCATAGCTTAATAAGATCACGGTATTGCACACACCATGCTTAAAGAACCACAGAACTATAGGAAAAATAAGGCCAGCAGCCTGACCTTTTTACTGTTTCTCTGTAGATAAGAAAAAGCAGACCAGGTGTACTCTTAAATCTCTAGGTGTATTCCTCCTCGTTAGTTATCCCCCTTTGCTTGAAATCTAGGGCAGCAAATCTGCATGCTTGCAGTGTTTTCATGGTTTTGCTTTGAGCAGCCTGCTGTTGCCATGCAGTGGCAGTGAGGGGACGGCTGAACTACTCTGGGCTTTCTTCAGAACTGTGGGCTGTTTAAGTGGTGTTTGAGGGCAGATCACTGAGGTCATGTCAGCCTTTGGGTTTATCAGACTTTTACTGGGAGCGCAGAAGAAAATAGGTCAGTGAGACTGCAAATGAGGAAGGTAGAAGAACGTGGGGGAAGCAGAACAAACAGCAAGGATTCATAGGTAAGATTTTATTAAAGATAGCAGCAGTGCTGTAATTCAAGGCTTTGTCATGATATGTAGATTTCTTTTCATTATCAAAGGCTGAGAATGTGCTGTTCTCTGGGACATGCTGTGTTTTGTGGGTTTAATCTACTGACCTTCTCTTATTCTTCATCATTCTTTCTTTGTGCCACTGTTCTGGAGAGTCAACTTACCTGGCCATCCCTCATCACCCCACTGCTCACCTTCTGTGTTACCCACTGCCTGCCCCAGTCTACTCGATTGGCATATTGAATAGGGAGTGTGTAAGGTTTGTGTTTACTCTTCTACTCAGCTCCTCTACCGAAGAGCTACGCAGGGGCTGGGAGACAGACAGATAACCAGTTAACGTCTAATGTTCTGAAAGCTCCTGACACCTAGGCTGAAGGAAAGGTGTAAGATTTAAGGTAGAAGTAGGAGCTGTGCTGGCTCACAAGCAATGTTTTAAAGCTTCTGAAAGTGGAACTTGATATTTGTTGTGCTTATGTAATGTTTACAAACACCTATTGCTTTTCCACATAATAAAATACAATATTTGCTAGGCTGTAAACACTTTCAAATTCTCCATGAATGGAATAGGCATGCCTATGATCTCAGCTTCTTTCCTGATGTTGAACATGAGCTTAAATAGCAAGACACTCACTTTAGCCACTTGTTAGATTTGATTCCTTTGCCTCAGTGGCCACAAATATCTCTAATTATCATTTTTTGATAATTATTAAAAGTCAGTACTTTCGGAACTTGATCTGAAAAGGGTAGTAGACACTAGATCTTTGGATCTCACTGGAATTCTCTTCAACTTTAAAACTGTGCGTAGATGTAACGGTCTGAATTGCAAGGTGGCCTGTTAGTGAGCAAAAAGATTTTGTGAACAAAATCTTTTGTTAATTTAAATTGACTAAACTTTTCTGAAACTTCTGAAAATATTTATCCTAGTGTAAGTCGTATTTAAAATTGTAGCACACTTAGAAGCTTTTAAGAAGGTTCTATGACAACAGTTGCAAAGAATGCACTTGTGCCTTTGAAAGCAAAGTTCATTACTATATTCGTACCTAACTTCAAAAAGGAAATATTAGGTAAACTTAATTCCTTATATTTACGCTATGGAATTTCAGTATAATTGAGATGTTCAGATAAATTAATTCTTACAGTTACAGATAGAGTTAAAAGACCAGTATTCCAACGGGACGAAAGTATTTAAATGTTTCCTATAATTTGTATTCTAGAGAAGTGTAAAACACTTTGAGTAGTATTCAGCCCTCAGAGTACCTTAGAAGTGTCATTTGTTATTAAATCTTTACATGCTTTATGCTCTTATGTATTGCGAAAAATCCTAAGTTAAAATTTCACAATGCCTGTGTACTTTCTTTTACTCGCTCTCTAATTAAAAGTAGCTGGAGTTAATTGCCAAAGACAAGTATGGTTCCAGTATGATTGAGACTCAAGTAATGAATTCTACTTCTTAAAAAAAGATTTTTGTTACATCTTTTAATAGACCCAAGGAAATTGTGCCTGGGAGATTGTAATCAGTTCAACACTTTGCAATGTCTGTATAAAATCAAGAGGCAAATCCTTTTTATCTCTTTTGTAATTTTCTTTGGCTTTCAAAAATAGTGAATCTATTGCTAAAGCCATTAAACTAGTTATAAAATGATTTGCAGAATCTGGCATTGATCTCTGATATGTGGCATCTGCAAAATGTTGCATAGAAAGAAAAAGATACAAGGAAAATAAAATGATTTTTTTTTTCCAACCAAAATGATCTGTATTTATTTCCAAGGAGGGTGTTACTATGAACAACCGAAAGGACAGTGCAACTAGAAATCATGGTGAGATTAAGTGGGACCTCTGTATGATAAAGAGTTTTATTAGATCTTTCTGGGCCCTTTAAAAAGGCATTGCAACCCAAATCATGACTTTCTCCAAAGTATGAGCTGAAAAGAGAGTTTTACTGACGTGGTTGCTTGCCTAGTTAGAGGTCAAGACGTGAAATTCCAGTCATAATTCAGACAACTGAAAAAGCCAAGTGATGACATCACAAACTTTTTTCACTCAAGTGCTGAGCTTCAATAGCAGTTAACTTAAGTCTCACATCATCTTCCTATATCACCTGTACTTTTCTGGTCCTTGCATTACTTTTCTTTGTGCTTTGTTTACTTTAATGAGATTCTGGATTGGCTGGCCAAAACTGTCTTCTGCAAAACTCTTTTTTGAGGTCAATGGGACCTAAAAATAGCACAACAAGCACTACGCTTGGCCATGGAATAAAAATGGGTGATATGACTGTGTTATGCCTGTGTTTCATTGGTGCTTTAACACTGAGGCTGTAAGTTGAATGTGTACCAAGACACAAAAGCAGGATTAGATTTAGACTGGAGTTGCTGCCACTTCTTTTTATCATGGTTAATTTACTTTCTTTTCCCTAAAATGGATCACTGTTAGCATCTTATATTCTAAAAGACTATTAAGCAGGTATTTTTTGCATACTATGGCTCTTGGAAGGGAGGAAACAAAATTTACATTAAAGCCACATATGGAATATTTGAATTTAGTGATTTGGGGGGCGAGGGGACAGAAATGATCCTTTATGTGTTGCACCATTAATAAAAAGGCTTAAAAGATTTTTGTTTGTCATTGGAGGTCAAGAACTGACTGGAAATCTGAGACCATGTTTAGCTGTTTAAATGTTGTGCTTGTTTATTCAAAACTTTTTACATGCTGGAATTAACTATTTTCATTAAAGTAACATTGAAAGGAGCAGGAACGGATACATTTATTTTTTTGGCTTTACTTGAACTTAAAATATGCATTTTGGAATTCACAATTTCATATAGTCACATGACAGTGAAAGAAATATTTTGACCATCTCTGTTGTTTGCTTAAAATCTACTATATGCTTTTTCCTAAATGCAGTTGGGCTGTTTATGGCTAAATGTAATGTTATTATTTACACAATAGCTTTATCGACTTGTTTGTTCCATTCGATCTGCTTGTATACATTGAAACATAATATTTCTTACTGTTACAGAATGAATCCAGAGAGCATATTGTTGCCTTCAACATGTTAAATTACAGAGCATGCAAAAATCTGTGGAAGTCTTGTGTAGAACATCACACATTTTTTCAGGCAAAGAAGTCGCTACCTCATGAAAAAAAGATATTGTCACACTATTGGACCCTGGGTTCTAGAAACCCAGCAAAGTAAGTATTGTGTGTGAAAGCGAATTTCGCATTTTAATGGGGGTGGGGTGGGGGAATTCATGTCACTAATACTTAAAGTTGGGATATGTTTGTGGAGCTGAGTTCTGCTCACAGCTGTGTCACAGACTTCATGTAAGCTGCTGAGCAAGTTATGTAACTGTGGTTTCAGTTTCTGCAACATGGTGCAAATGAAATTAAACTCTTTTTTATAATTTCCTGAGAAATTATTTGAATATAGATATGTTCTACCAGTATTGTTTCAACTCATTGTTTCAGTTTGAGGAACACTAGAAAATAAAAATGTCATATAGCTCATGAGCAATAAAAATTTGTAGAACAGACTGATCTTGGACTGCTTGCCCCCTATTCTTGCATACTCTGCTTAATGTGCTTGGGATTTCTGGAGTGCATGGTACCAACAGTTTTAGTTGAATGTAGGTGCAAAAAATCTGTCCTGTGCAAGTTTTGGAGCACTGTATAGATCTTTAGGTGCTATTAATATTCATTATCCATGTTGCGGTCACTGTAAGGACTGCAAATTGTGTTGACTAACAAAAATATCTTTCATATGCAAAACTGAATACTACTTTTAGTGATGTAACTGGAATAGTTCATACTGCCCAATTAGTTGCTCAGTTCTTCAAGGAAATTTGTGCCCAGTACTGTATTATTGTGGCTGTGCTGCTAAAATTATCCAAGCTTGCAACTTAAATGATCTAGGACATGTAATTTCACAGAGATGGGTTTAAAAAAATGTCACTTATTATAATCTATCCTCCCATTGCTTTTATAGTTAACATCAGAGTGATGTATGAGTTTTATGAAAGTATTGCTTTCAGCTTAGAGGAATGCCTGCTGCGTACCCTAACAGCACGGTTTTTTTTGAGTTACAATGGTCTCTAATTGCTGTTTAGATTTCTAGCACAATGGGATAGTTTCTACCAGTTATTTTTTCACTACTTCCAACTTTTGAATAGCTATTAGCTTTAAATAACAAAACTTATCTCACTATACAAACACCACTGAAAGTATCAGAATGCCCCTTCATTTGCTCCGATAGCTGTCAAAAAAAAGACGATCTTTTTTTTATACCACTTTATAACTGTAATCTCTGAGGATTCAAGAATATATCTTGTATGCATTTCCCATATTGAGTTTAGTTGCAAACTCCTTGTAAGAAATGTTTATTCTGAGAAAATGTAACGAGGGAAAAACAATGCAGGGTCCTGGAGCTGTTTTCAGGTTCTTAAGATAATGAAGTGTTTAGGGCACAGTTTTGTCCAAGCTGGGCAAGAACTTCTGAAAATCAGTGAACGAGATAGAATCAGAGGTATCTCAACTATCTGAGAAGGTACAAAAGGGGACAACATACTGGCTATAAGAACATGAACTGTTTTGTGTCAGACCAAAGGTCTGTCTGTCCCAACATTCCTGTCTCCAGCTGTGGTCAGGAGTAAATACCTAGGGATGCGTATTAGAACAAGGCAAGTAGGTGAAGCCTACTTCCATAGAATACTTTCCATTCTCCAGTTGCTTATGACTCAAGGACTTCCTGAGCCAGAGGTGATGTCTTGGGATTTTTTTCCATCAATATTGCTTAATAGCTGTGATCCCACATAACTTTGAGCATTTACAGTATCTTCTGGCAAGACGTTTTTGCAACTTTATATATTGTGGAAGATCTTTGATTAATTTGCAATCTCTGATAGCTTCGTTTGAAGCTTCCTTAGTGCTCGAGTGTGGCAGATGAACATTTACTTCTTAATTCATTTGTGACCCTTAGATGTGTCTCATCCTACCCCAGTCATTTTTCTTAAAGATGAAGACTTAGTCTTTTTAATTGCTTCTTATACAAAAACCTCTTTCATACATTTGATCATCCTTGTCAGACTTTTTTACCTTTCTGGTTCACCTCTACTTTGTGACCAGATGATTGGAGTGTGGTGGGGGCTGATGCTTTCTGGTTTTTATTTCCCTCATTGACCTCTGCTAGTCAATAAGCTGGTTGTTTTTATGATGGTATCTAAGATCTCATTCCCAGAAGGTAGTAGTTCAGAGCCTAAGGAGGTAATAGTTCAGAGCCTATCACTTTGCTATATGAAGTTAGGATCCTTCTTTCCAATATGCACCAACTGGGTGCTAACCTTATTGAATTTCATCAGCCAGTTTATTGTCTAGTCACTTGATGTTGTAATGTCTGTCTGCATTTCTTCACACTCAACGTTTTTTTGCCATCCTGTGTGATTTAATTATCTTCAGCAAACTTCTCCTTGCTGTTCACCTCTTCCACAGATGATTTGTGAGTATGTTGAACAGAAAAGCCCCTAGCATATACCAACCTGGTAGCCTTCTGTAATGGAATGACTGGCTGGGTAGATGAGGGCAGAGCAGTGGATGTTGTCGACCTTGACTTCAGTAAGGTTTTGACACTGTCTCCCACAATGCCCTCATAGGCAATCTGAGGGAAGTGCAGGCTAGAGGAGCACACAGTGAGGTGGATGGAGAACTGGCTGGATGGCAGAGCTCAGAGGGTTGTGGTTAGTGACACAGAGTCTAGTTGGAGGCCTGTAGCTAGCAGTGTCCCCCAGGGGTCGGTCCTGGGTCCGGTCTTGTTCAACTTATTCACCAGTGACCTGGATGTAAGGACAGAGTGCACCCTCAGCAAGTTTGCTGATGATGCTAAACTGGGAGGAATGGCTGATACACCCAGGGGCTGTGCTGCCATTCAGAGGGTCCTCAACAGGCTGGAGAGATGAGCAGAGTGGAACCTCCTGAAGTTCAACAAAGGCAAGTGCAGGTTCCTGCACCTAGAGAGGAATGATCCTCTGCATGTGGACAGGTTGGAAGCTGACCTGCTGGAAAGCAGCCCTGTAGAGAAGGACCTAGGAGGTCCTGGTGGGCAACCAGTTGAACATGATGAGCCTGTCCTTGTGGCCAAGAAGGCCACAAGGCCAGTGATGTCCTTGGCTGCATTAGGGAGAGCATTGTCAGCAGATTGAGGGAGGAGATGCTCTCCCTCTCCCTCTCCTCAGCCCTGGGGAGGCTGGAGTGCTGTGTCCAGTTCTGGGCTTCCCAATACAAGAGCGACATGGAGCTACTGGAACGAGTCCAACAGAAGGCTCCTAAGATGATGAAGGGACTGAAGCATCCTTCCTATGAGGAAATGTTGAGAGAAT